TTGCCAATAGAAATGAAACGGAACAAGAAAGAACCGAAGAATTTCAATGCCTAAACTCTGGTAAGCCAGAAAACAATTTCGATTTCTATAAGGGTACTATGGTATGAATGTCTGTCCCCTCCAAAAATCATGTTGAAATTTAATCCCCAATGTAGCAGTATGGAGAGTTGGTGCCTTTAAGAGGCAATTGGATTATGAGGGCAAAGCTTTCAAGAATGGATTAATCAATTTGTGGACTAATGGGTTATCATGGGAAGGGAACTAGTAATGTAATAAAATGAGAAAGAGAGACCTGCACTAGCGTGTGGCACCTTTAACCCCCTTGCCATGTGGCAGCCAGCACTACCTCGGGGCTTTGCAGAGAGTTCCCTACCAGCCAAAAGGCCCTCGCTAGACGCAGCCCCTCAAGCTGGAACTTCTTAGCCTCTATAATTATAAAAAATAAATTCTTATTTTCTTTATAAATTACCCAACCTCAAATATTCTGTCATAAACAGAATAAACAATAGAAAATGGACTGAAGCAGGTTAAGAGCTGGAACGGTGGTTCTCAATCTGTAGCGTGCCTCAGTTTCATCTGGAAGACTTGTTAAAACACGAACTGCAGGTCCTACCCCCAGAACTTGATTCAGAGAATCTGCACTTCTAACAAATTCCCAAGTGATGCTGAAGCTGAGATCCACTGGTCTGTGGGGGAAAGTTGCAATGATAAATATGTTCCATGTACTCACACCCCATCAAATATTCAATCCTTCGGTAGCCAATTTTTAACAACCTAACTCTGTTCTAAGTCATGATGCAAGCTGGATTCTGGGAGGAAACACAAACTTTTTAAACAGTACTAAACGTTCCTTGATCCAATCCAATTATAACAACACATAGCAGACCTTAAGTACGCTATCATCAGGAATAGAAATTCCAGCTATATAAAATGGACACGATATATGTTGTGCTTAATATCCAATAAAGCCAGGTAAAAGCAATTCAGAACAACAACATTATAAGCAAGCTGATTGAGAGAACGCACTGCTTTGAATTTATTACAAGAATTATCCAGTTCAATCGAATTCTTAACAAAACTAGTGGCTGAAGTGATTGAATATCCAACTACCAAGTAAAAGAATACTTTAGTGGTGTATTTTTTTATGCTTTAAATTAAGGTTTGAGAAAGTTTATCTCCTGCATACTGGGTGAGGCTTTTTTCAAAGCAGACTGGCATGTAAATTAGAATTAAGAAAATGTGTGTAAAACTTTTTTAATCATTAATTAAATACATTTTATTTGCATATAGCACAGAGGCATTTATTTTAGGAATTAGGAAATTATTTAAGAAATAAGAATTCAAAACTGAATACTTCTTGCAGAATCATTCACAAACCCAAAGAATCCTATTTGACAACCTATGTGTAATTTTCAAATGCCCCTACCCTCCACTGTCAAGGATTAAATGAAAGGGCTTTATTTTTTAATTTTTAATATATCATAAATATTCATACTCAACAATTAAATCTAAGAATAAAAACCTTACATTATGAAACCAGTATTTTGGGAGTGAAGCATACTGCATAAAACAATTGGTTCACTACAAGATCATTCATAACAACAAAATGTTTTCTTGGAAATAGTTGATGTTTTAATACTAAAATCCCTTATCCTCAAGTATAATATGCATCTAAATAAAATAGCATTCAAATATCCTGAGAATGTAAAATCCAAGGAGAAGTCTGGAAATAGATTTCTAAATGACAACAACCAAAACCATAACAATCCCCAAGCCAGCTAAACAAAGAAGCCTCCATGAATGAATAATAAATAATGGAAGAATTATAAAAGAAAGGCAAATAATAGAAAACAATGTTTTCTCTCATTCCTTATTCACTGTGTTTTCTTGTTCTCCGCTCTCTCTCTGCTAATCCATGTCATTCACTTCCTTCAAATCCTACTTTAAGATTGATTTTTCTCTAACATGATACATCCTAATAATTTTCTAACTCTACATTACCTCAGCAGTACTTTCCATTCCCAGCTTGGGCTGTAATTGTTTTGTTATCATGTTTTGTTACTTCCTCTGTCTCTCTCACTTTAACCTATCACCAAGTCGATTAAAATATTCAAGCAAGGATGTTTTTTAAAAAATCAGTTTTATAGAAATTTAAAAAAAAAATCAACATTGGCTTATAGGATCAGAAATTCATAGTTAGAGAAGCCAAATTAATTTGAACCAAGTGGAAACCTTATTTATATAATTTTCCTTTTTTCAGCATACCTTCACAACATCCCAGATTCACAATTAAAAATATAGTAAAGATTTAACGTTGTAAATTAGGTATGTTTAAATTACAGTTACCAATTGACCCTATATAGCTGACCTGATCCCAGTGGGCAGCTACCTACTTGTCAAGTCCAGTTCCTATTGAACTACTGAGCCTTCTAATCTTTGGTAATTATACAAAAACAAAACAAAAAACTCTATAATTCTGGACTCTTCTCTTGCCACGATTACACTGATATTCTTCAAGTTCTTCACCCCCCTATAGGAAGGGCTGCACTTTTAGGCCGTTTGAAATGCTGCCCCTTAACATGGAATTTCCTTCTTCTCTGGCTATATATAAATTTCTGCTTTTTCCAGGAGACAGTAAAGCCTTCTAAATAAGGGCTATATCATTTATTGCAGTACATTCAGAATAGCACCTCTCCTTGATGAATACTCAATGAGAACCTGCTGAATGACCTATACCAAGCAGGTGAAGTATGCAGACCTGTATGTCTGCACCTACACACACACACATGTATATTTCTCTGCACTTTTTATAGAGACACTGTATTAAATACTTGCATAATCATATAGTCTTCCAATCCATATTTTGATTTAGAAAATACATGCAAGATAACAAATTAGGCTAGCAATTATAATTATCTAATACTCTATACCTTGTTAGATATATAGTTTTATTTTAAAAGAACCAAAACTGATTAAGATATTTTCTCACATCGAAAGCCAATTTTTAAAGCTTTGGTAGAATTTGCCACATATAGATAAATACATAAATATCTATGAAAATTTCTATGACGAGCTCAGCGCCCATAGCACAGTGGTTATGGCGCTAGCCACATGCACCAAGGCTGGCGGGTTTGAGCCTGGCCCAGGCCAGCTAAACAACAATGATGACTGAAACAAGGAAATACCAGGCAACTGTAATCCCAGCTACTTGGGAGGCTAAGGCAAGAGGATTACTCAAGCCCAAGAGTTTGAGGTTGCTGTGAGCTGTGATGCCACAGCACTCTACCAAGGATGACATAGTAAGACTCTGTCTCAAAAAAAAATTCTATGATGATTTAAATAATATGACAATGTCCATGTATTAGTTTATTCAATAAATATTGAGTCCTACTATAAGTCAGGTGCCATTCTAGATGTCGGAACATGCAGCAGTGAACAAAAAAGATAAGATAACTGCTTTTAGTTTATGTTGTAGTTGTAGAATATCGTTAATGAATAAACAAACAACAAATATATGGTAGTATTAAGTGCCCCAAACTCTAAGAGCATAATCTGATATCAAGTAACTGGGAGCTACAAAAAGTGGTACTTCTGTATATTATTATCATTTACTGCAGTATATATGCTAGTCTGAAAATAAGTTTTTAAAAACTAGAAAAATAACTAATCTAAACTAACAACTCCAAATAAGCACTTTATCAACAGTTGGTTACTTTTTATATCTATGGGGGAACTGACTTAATACGTCAAATTTGTCATTAAAAAATAACTAACTGTGACCATTAGAACCACAATCACATTATTACTATTCATAAATGTTTAAAAAGAAAACAGAAATTTTGTATGCTATAATACAAAAAAACTTCTTAATCTTAGTAGGAGGTATCCAGAGACCGTATACTTTAACTGGATGACAATTACAGGTAACAACACATACAGTTTTAGATTATTTTAGGATACAAACAACAAATTCCCTTCCAACATTAAGTATACCATTAGATTAATAAGTATTTCAAAAACGCCTGCAACAAGCACAAGTCAAGGTAGACGGGAGGAGACATACACTGGTTAGGCCATCAATTCAAGAGCGGGAGTTGAGGTAAAGAAGTAGTTGGTTCTAGGTGTCTATGGAAGGTAGCTGTATCGTGGAGTTACAGGTAGAAAGTTCTGGAGATACTTATCCTTCTCTGTTGCCATGTGAGGACTAAGCAAGAAGGCCCTCTACAAGCTAAGGAGACAGTCCTCAGGAGAAAGGAAATCTGCCAACACCTTAACCTTGAACTTCTAGCCTCCAGAAATGGGAGGAAATAAATTTCTGTTGTTAAGCTAACCAGTCTGGCATTTTGTTATGACAACCCTAGCAAAATAATATAAATGTTAAAAATTTATTTGGTAAATATTTTTTGTTCTAATTGACCTTTTTTTTAGAAGAAAATAAATTAAGAAATAAGTAATAAAAAATTTACTTTATATCACTAGTGCCATGGCATAAAAGGGGCAAGAAACTATATATTTTTTTAAGAAACTATATTTTTAAATAAAATGTTTTTGGCTAACACTATTTTTTAAAAAATAAGGAGTGAATTGGGATTCTGAGTAATAATATAGGTTAAAGCAGTTGCTAGGGTTAATGTGATTACTGGCCATCTAAAAATGCTCTATGAAAGATTCTGCATAATAGAAAATATTTATCCCCTAGTCCTGGAACATCCCTATGTGTGTATATATGTATTCGTGCATATGCAAATACATATACATTCCTACAGAAATGTAACTCCAAAAGCAATTTCTGTCTGCAGTATACCTACAAATGTCTTTTCTGATAGTGTTTTTAGTACACTGGAGATTAATACATGAGTTTTTTTCCTAAACTAAACTGTAAACACATTTATCTTTTAGAATTTTCACCTACATTTCAGAGACCACATTAAAAAAAACAAGACTTTTAGTTTTCAGACCAACTTAAAAGATTAGTTACCACTCTGATTTTTCAAAATTACCTTGTCTGGATCCATCTTTCCTCTGATAAATTCTTGCTTCCAGAACTGCAAGGCCTGTTCCAATGTCAAACCAATGCCCTTCAGGAAAAGGCCATACTGCATTCGGCCTCCATGACGAAGATGGTGATTTTCCCGCAAGGCTTTATGTAGCTGACGCATGCAAGGTGGAAAGGATTTGGTAGAAAGCTACAAGAAAAAACAGTTTTTAATTCTGGAGAAGATGTAGATCTTCCATAATATCTGCTGCAGTTACAAATTCACTCTAATTGGAATAAAAACAAAAACCATAAGAAAATAATACCATACTACTGTGATTATAGTATAAGCTTTTTCTTATTAATTTTTATATTTATTACATGTTAACAAGCTACTATTTTGAATACTTTGGGTTAAATAAGATATTTAGGTTTATTTTCACTTGTTTCTTTAAAAACAATTTTTTGATTAAACTGTTTCTTTGAACATAACTGTAGATTCACATCCAGTTATAAAAAAAAAAAAAATACAAAGAGATATTATTTCCCCCAAAGATACAATCTTGTAAAACTATACCACATTCTCACAAAAAGGTCACTGACATTGACACAATCCACTGGTCTTATTTGAATTTCCTTGGTTTACACGCCTATACTAACTTCTTGTGTGTTTGATTTTACACAGTTTTATCCCATGTATGGGTTCATTCACCTACCACCGCAGTCAAGATGCAGAACAGTTCCATCAGCACAAAAATTCCTTATGCTTCCCTACCTACCTTCTGCACCCCACCCTCCCCTGCTCCCTAACCACTGGCTACCACTAATCTGCTTTTCATCTCGATAATGTGGCCATTTCAAGAGTATTATATAATAGAATCATATAGTATGTAATGCTTTTTGACTGGCTTTTTTTAGTCAGCATAATTTCCTTATCTAAGTTTTGAATCGAAGTTTATGTCTTTTTTATTACCAAGCAGTATTGCACAGTAGGGATGTACCACAGATTTTTTAACCATTCACTCACTGAATGGTTTACACTCACTGTTTTACGGTTTGGTGCAACTTCAAATAAAGCTGTTATGAACATTCTTGAAGAGGTATTTATGTGAACGTAAGATTTCATTTCCCTGAGATAAATGTCCAAAAGTACAATTGCTTAATGGCAGATAAACTTTTAAGATAACTCAAATACAAAGGAGAGTATAAAAATAAAAGAAAATGTTCTCAAAAGAGAAATTCAAATAAATCTGTTAAAGAAATCAATAGTTGAAAGGAAAACAGTGAAGGTGTTTCCCTTAGTGTCAAAAATGAAATATCATTGCCCACTTTTAATTCAACCTTTTTACTTATGGTCTCAAATGTATTCTCTCAGCACTTCCTCAAATTCTCACGGCCTCACATATTCCTTGGCAAATTCACTTTGTCTATAAGAAAAAGCATTTCGTACTTTGCTCAACTTTGCGGCTCCCTCTAGTGACCATCCAGTTTAGGTTCTAAAATTTTCCATTCCCAGCCTTGTTCATTGAGATTTATATCCCCCCTCGGCAAGACTACCTGGAAAGCGATCCAGTTCGTCTTCACCTGACCATTTCCGTTCCTTCATATTGTCACCTGATTATTTTTCCTTAAACATGGTTCTAATCCAAACAAATCAATGAATATCTGACATCCTTACTGTGATCATGCAGAGTTCCCTCATTAAGTACTTTTTAATTATACATAACAACAAACATTTATTAGATGTTTTGGAAAATAAGAAAATGAATAAGATATAATTTGTTCCATTAATATAGTTAAACAAAGGAAAAATACACAGCAATCATTATATTCACTGTAATAAATGATTATCGTGCAGGCTCCAATCAGGGCATAAACATGTGGTACAATGGACACACTGTGTCAGGGAGTGGGGTACACCCCAGTCATACTACACCAGTATGACCCCTCTGCACCACTCAGCTGGTTATTCACTGTCCCATGAACACAGAGGCATATTTTGTACCTTCTCATTTTTCTCACTTTGCTGGCCCTGTCTGCTGCACCCCTCTCACCTCCGTGCCATCTACCCAAAACTGAGCCATTCTTCAAGACCCAATTCAACTTCAACTTTCTTTGGCACATTCCTTGGTGAATTTCCACTCATTCAATCACCAAATAGTTACTGAATATTTACTATGTGTATAGTTCTGGTGAACCATCAGTGAACAAAGAAGTCAAAAATCCTGTCTTTAAAACTCTTACAAGGGAGAAAATAGACAATGAACAGAGACAAAGATAAATAAATAAATAAACCTGTAACTCCAGCACTTGGGAGGCTGAGGCAAGTGGGTTGCCTGAACTCACAAATTTGAGACCAGCCTGAGCCAGAGCGAGACCTCATCTCTAAAAACAGCCTGATGTTGTGGCAGGTGCCTGTAATCCCAGCTACTTGGGAGTCTGAGGCAAAAGGATCACTTGAGCCCGAGAGCTAGAGGTTGCTGTGAGCTGTGACACCACAGCACTCTACCAAGAGTGACAAAGTGAGACTCTGTCTCAAAAAAAAAATCAAAGCACTGGGGGAAAATATAGAGGAATGGAATCAAGTATAATGAGGGAAGAGGTACTTTAATCTGGGTGGCCAGTGAACCACTCTGAGAAGATAGCATTTTAGCTAAGAAATAAATCTCAAGTCGAATTCCAGGCAAATGAAGATCCAAGAGTACTGGTCATGTACAGAAAACAAAAATAGAGACCCTGGGAAGGAATGAACTTGGTTTGCTATGAGACAGGAAAAGGTCCATATGGCCGGAGCTCAGTGAGTGAGCCAAACGGAGCAGAAGACAAAACTGAAATGATGAGCACGTACGGCTTTCCAGGCCATAAAGTGAGTTTGGATTTTTCTCTAAATATGATGGAAACCCACTAGAGGCTTTGACCAGAAGACTATTATGATCTGATACATAAAAGAACTCTGACTGTTATGAAGTGAAAATACTATTATGAAAGCAAGAAAGGAAGCAGGAAGAATACTCATGAGGCTTTGGCTGTCGTCCAAACAATAGAAATAAAAAAGATGGGGTACAGGGCTGGCCATAAGGAGATAGAAAAGTGATTGTGGGAATTCTAAGGCCAGGATGAAGAATGAATTACCAATATGGACCTTGTAGAGGCCAAGAACAGTAACAGGGGTACTGATAAGACCACTAAGTGGGTGCTAAAATCATCAACGAATAAGGGTGGCAGCAGGAAGCAAGGTATCAGGCCATACGCAGTATAACGTGGTCCACAGGGCTTTAAGGAGCCAGTGCTCTAACAGTAGAAGGTAGAGAAATAACTTGCAAGTGGTAATGTGAACCAGAGAAGATACTTACCCCACATCTACATAGAATGTGGGAGGGAAGCAGCCTCTCCTTGGGGAGAACCGCAGGAAAACATACTGGGGAGGGAGCCAATTTCACTTAGAAGAAAAATCTGAAGTAAACATTTGGAGAAAAGACACAACAACTATCAAGGGATATGCAAATGGTATGCTGTTGTGGAGATCAGGCAATACAGACGCAGAGTTAGGAAACAGTCCAAATAAAAAATACATCTTTTCACTTCGCCCAGGGTCTCAGGCACAGGCCCACACTAGGATCATCATCGTAATACTGAACACAATTCAGCATTACACTGTCCATCCATTATTTACAATGCTGTCTATCTCCCCTAAGTAAGACCCATGAAGGCTGGGATACTGTCTGCTTTCTTTTCCACTGTATTCACAGCACAGCAGTTGGTACATAATTGATGGGCTCAATATATATTTACTAAATGAAGTAATGATTATATTTCTATATAGTCCCAGCACATCCAACCAAGTTTACATTAGCTTGTGTGTGGGAAAATATCTAGCTAGAACCAGTAATAGAATTAACCTCTAATTATTTGCATAATATAAACACAAAACTGTATGGGGGCAGAAATTCTATAAATTCAAGTACAGCACAGCATACTACTCCTCCATTCTGTTATGAAACCACAAAGAAAAATTATACTGAAATGAGCTGTTAATCTAGTGGCAACCCAAATATGGAAGCCTATTCATATTATAAGACAATCTATATCTCACCTAAGTTCATAAGTTTTAAGTCCTAACCCCCAACACCTCAACACAGAGATAGGGCCTTAAAGAGGTAATAACGGTTAAATGAGGCCACAAGGGTGGAGCCCTGGTCCAATGCAACCAGTGACCTAATCAGAAGAGGTAGGCACAGCGGGGATGTATATGCAAGCACTGGAAAAATCAGATGAGGACAGACCAAGAAGACAGCCTTTTGTAGGAGAAATACTGCCCCAGATGAAATCAAACTTGCTGTTATGTTGATCCTGGATTTCTAGCCTAGACTGGGAGAAAATAAATTTCTGTTGACCAAGCCACCCATCTGTGCTGGTTTACTATAGCAGCCCTAATAAACACCCTTAGTATTTTCATTTCCTCCTTTACTAAATGTATGTGGCATTTACGAATAAACACATGAACTCCATTTAGCTATGATTACTTAAAAGAATTTCCTTTTGGAATAACTGATTAAATTCTGCTATTCTCAAAGTACAGACAATTTTCTGCTGAAGTTCAATTTTCCTATGATTTAAAAAAATCATATGTATAGGACACAGGATTGATTTTCTTTATTTAAGATTAATATGAGGGCACAAAGAATTAGGTTACAATGTTTGCGTTTGTTAGGTAAGGCCCCTGTTGTAGTAGCATCCTGCACCCACATGTGCCATATACCCTTACACTGTGCTCCTTCGGTGGGAGCACACCAATCCCCTCCCACCTGCCATCTCCCCCTCCCCCAGCTTGAATTGAGTTTTTCTCTTGTGTGGGAGTGTATTAGTTCATCTACTGGCTTTGTATTAGTACTGAGTACACTGGATACTTGCTTTTCCACTTTCGTGATACTTTACTAAGAAGAATGTGTTTTTTTAGGACATAGGATTTAAAAAAAAAAATGAACAGGAAGCAATGAACATTCTCTCCCATCTTCTTACCCCAAAATCTTTGATTGTAGAAAATTTGTGTTTACTCCATCAATAAAGTTATAAGTTTAAAAAGATGTGATGCTTACCGAATCAATCTGATCCAAAGAAATCTTTCCAACACTTCTCTGTATACTGTAATCTTGGCCAGTATAGGAATGACTATTTAAAAAAAGAGAAAAGGGAATAAATCATTAACATGGGATTTCTAAGATCCTTTTAATTGCTTCAAAGAAATTATTTTTCTGAAAACAATGAAAGTCAGAATAAAAAACCATTTTACATATAAATCTTAGCAGTACTTTAAGTGTATTTATTATTCTATTCAATACATTATGTAACTTACTCTAAAATAATAACAAAACCATAGTGACAGTTTGGATCTCCGGATTCCTAGTCTAGAGCATCTCCATTTCACAGAAGCATAATCCAAATTGTTGTTATAGTTCAAATCTCTACTACTTAATTCCTTTATTAACAACATAACAACATAGCAAAAAAGAAACTGGAACTTAAATCAAGAACTATCACTTAATAGTAATAGGTCACTGAGCAAGTTCCTTGAACTCTGTATCCCAGGTTCCTCATCTGTCAAATGGAGATAAAACACCGGCTTTGCAGTGTTGATGGGAGGTCTGAATTGAAATAATTTTTGTTAAAAAGCCTGACATACAGTTATAATCACTGTTTATTAAAATAAATAATATCCAAATAGTACTTTACAGTGTACAAAGAGTCTTTACCTATAGCTGCCTCCAATTAGATCCTCAAAACCCCTCTGAGAGTGCATTTTAATTTTACATTCGACAAATGAGAAAACGGAGGCTCAGAGCAGTGAGACACCTGTCAGGGTCAGAAAGCAAGTCAGCAGTGCAGTGGGAACCGAAACTTTTGACTCCTAATTCCCTGTTTCTTCATTATACTGTCCCATCACATCCCTATAATAAACTTTGCTGTATTGTTATTTACAAATTATAAAACATAACTTGGTGGATGCTACCCAAAGCCATCCACCTTTGCAATCTTCATCTCCTTGATGCAAAACTACTATCCCTGCCAACTCCATAAACACAGATTCAGGTGTGACACAGCAAAATGAACAAACAAAATCAAAATGCACCATCTACGCTAGATTATACAGAAAACCATAATCAAACCAAGATTTATACAGACACCACAATTAAAGGGGAAATCCTGGCAGGAAGTATCATTATGATCATGAAGAATTACAGACTTTCTATTTTCCACCTGCTCAGTATGGATTCTTCCTGCTGACCCACGCATGCACTCAAGATGCCTTACAGAGGGGTGACATTCCCATAGCCAGCAATGGGTATAGATTATAAAGCAAAACTAGGATGCTGCAGCCCAGGATGCTGCAGTCACTGGCCAGGAACTGTGAGATGTAAATACACATACACATTTCCCCTCCCCTAGTCCTCCATCCCCCATCCTCAGGCCTGAGAATTACTCTGAAAGCCAGACAAATAGGATACTGAGGGAGACCAGAAGACGCCACCCCAGGATACAAAGGACTGCAGGCTGAAGGTAACTTAAATAGAAGCAGATTCAGAAAACCTCTGCCTACTCCCTACTTGACTAAAAGCAAGACATACCTAGATTTATAAAGACAAAAAGTATATGTTGTACCCCTTCTACCAGGGAGAACAAAGGTTACTCAGTGAAGACAATTTTAGGCCCTTTGTGTCTTGGGATGATACCAGAAGAATCTACATGAACAAGCTTTACTGGTTAGCCTTTATCTGACACTTATTTGCCTTCCCACAAGTTGCTGCCCCTAGAGACTCTAAGTCCTTATCCTTTCTCTTTTCACTACTCTAAAAATTCACGGTTCCCAGTTGAAGATTCTATTTGAACTGGAATTCAAAGCTACCTCTTGGAGGAACTACTCATTCCCTAGTATCTTCCATTATATATGAAATATACATGTCTATGAGTATCTGTTCCTCCAAAACTCATGCTGGAACTTAATCTCCAATGTGGTAGTATGGAGACTTTTAAGAGTGATCATGAGGGCTCTGTCTTCTTGAATGGATTAGTCCATTCATAGATTAATGGATTAATGTGTTATCAAAGGAGGGAACCGGTGGCTTCAAAAGGTGAGGATGAGAAACCTGAGCCGGCACCTTAGCCTGCTCAGCCTCTCTGCCACCTGCACCCTGCACTGCCTCAGGACTCTTCAAACCATCTCCACCAGCAAGAAGGCTCTCCCCAGACACGCCCCCTCCACCTTGGACTTCCCAGCCTCCATAACTGTAAGACAGAAATTCCTTTTCTTTAATATATTAACTAGATTCAAGTATTATAAGCAAAAGAAACTGAACTAATACAACATGTTAATAAACTTCTGTTTCTTACTCTCTTACTAATCCACCTTTCATTACCAGAGTCCATCCCAACTAAGAACGTATGGAGGTTGAAGAAAAAACGTATTATTTTTGCCTATAATCCCATATTCTGAAATGTATCTCTTTGCCGCTTGTATTATTTTTCCCTTGAGCAATAAATTTCTAATAATTAATGTATCACTGGACTCTATGCATTCCATTAATTATAGAACTATGGCATTCAAAACTCATGCAAAGTTAAACCAACAGCTGCCATCTAACTTTAATGTTTTACCTTTGATAGAGCACAGCCAGAGAGTTGTTTCTGGAACAATAGTGGAATTTTTTCCCATATTTCACTTTTCAGTATGTCTTATAGTACAGCAAAGAGGCAGTAAGGACCAGTGAGATTAGCAGTGGCTAGAAGTCTGAACATCTCTACTGGGTTTTTGTTTTTCAAATCACTAGTTCTGCAAACTGGGGCAAGTCACTTAACCTTCCTGATTTGCACCATCCTCATTTGTAAAATGGCGCTAATAATGTCAGGCCTGCCTAATTAACAGAAATGCTGGGGAAATCAAATGAAATAATTTGTTCAAAGTGCTAATTAAAATCAGTAATGCATACTCCAGTACACAAAGCAACTGCAGCCTGACCAGTAGGTACAAAAATAACCGGACAGTAAGGAAGATGCGTGTGTTAGTAGAAGAGTCTTCACCCAAGTGGGAGGCGCTAGGTCATGACCTTGACCCTCTAAGGTGGTGATTTCAATTATCTAACAGGATTGTTCAGATAAAACAGATTAACAAATATGAAAGTCTTCTATAAAATATTTAAAGGATGTACAAACATGATGATAGTTACGGAATAAATGGAGCCAAATGATTACTATGCCACAAGAAAGCTGTTGTCAGCCAAGATTAACGTAGTATTCAAGTACAAAGAAAAGACATGTAAAGAGGCTACACACATCTACCTGTACGACAGTATAAACTGCTTGCTCCTCAATACTTGGACAGAGTACACAGAAGGGCTAAATTTCAAGGGAAAAAGTGAAAAAGCAAAAGAATAGTAGCAATGATTAATTTGAAGACTTTATTAGATATAAATACCTATACAGAGACTATAAGGAAACTGAATAGACTTCAAACTTCTAAAATCATTATTAATAAAGGAAGAAGGCCACCAGCCCAGGGCGAGCAAGAATGGAACCCATGGGGCAGGGGGTAGAAAAGGGGGAGCAGGCTAAAAACGAAGGTGTTACCATCAGGATTAGGGATGGGATTTCCACTCTACCATCTATGATCAGAAGGGCTTACTTATGTCTTTGTTAGAGGAGTTGATAATTAATAAACATCCCAGCTAATTAATACATATTTGAACTAGTTATGAATGGATATAGCTTGGGGTACGGGGCCAAGAGGGATTATCAGAAACAACACAAGAAAGGTAGGCCTGAGATGCCTTGAATCCTGCACTCTCCAGGCAATAAAAACTGAAAACATTTGAGGCAAGAACTAACATAATCAGGTTTACACTTGAGAAAGAAAGCAATGTGGAGAAATCACAAGAAAGGAGAAGAACATTATTGTAGTCAGTATTATATCCAGGCAAGAGAAAGTCGGATCCAGCGTAAAGTACTGGCAACAAATGGAGAAAGAGGCGATAGATGAGTTTGGATTTTCTGGAAAGGACTGGATACACCTGATGAAGGAGGTGGAAGAGTCAAGAGTAACACACGAGTTTCTAGCCTAACTGCCAGAATGCTCCGAAACCACTATTCTACTTCCACAAGATAAAACCGATTTAGCTAAACAATAAAACTTTGATTCCAAAATGAACTTCCAGGGAAATTATGAAAATATAAACTTCTTAAGTCATTAGAATGTTTCCAGGTGATACCGGAAAAGTGGCACCCCAGCCAGTTCAGCCGAGCAGGGCCTGGGGGACCTGTCACCTCTGTCTTGGTGGCAGCAGCCAGCAAAGGAACTGGCAGGTTGGAGCAAAGGGGGGAGCCTCCCTCCCCCACCAGAGGCTCCAGTAGAGCGGCGCTAGAGGACCTGCCGGCTCTGCCTTGGCAGCAGCTGGCACAGAAACTGGCACGCTGGAGCCAAAGGGGGAGCTTTCCTCTCCCACCAGAGGCTCCAGTAACAAAAAAGACCAAGCCAATCAGGGGAAAACGCTGGCAATTCCTCCAGTGCATCCCTGATTGGTCCATTTTCAATCCTGCTCCTGACTGGTCTATTTTATAGACCTATCAGCTAAGCTCTCAGCTCATTGGACAATTACCCCTTTATAAGACCCCTGAGCAGAGAGCCTGAGAGCAGATCATAGCTGACCTTCCAGAGAGGAAGAGAGCAGAAGGGCAGATCATAGCAGATCGTGGTAGACCTTCGAGGAAGATAGAGCAGAAGAATAAGACTTCAGTGAGCTGTTGCAGAACTTTGAGGAAGAAAGGGCAAGAGCTGTAACACTTCTGATCCTGCTCTACAAAGAGGCTTGGCTCTTTGTAGGAGCTGTAACACTTCTACTGCTGACCCTCCTCTGCAAAGAGGCTTGGTCCTTTGTAGGAGCTGTAGCACTTCTACTGCTGATCCCACTCTACAAAGAGGTGTGGCTCTTTCTAAGAGTTGTTTTCATAAGAGTTGTAACACTTGCATCCTGCCCTGCAAGGCGGTTTGGTTCTTTGAGCTGTAAATAAAACCTCACTGTTCATTCTATGGTCCGTCAATTCATTCATCGAATCGTCGAGACCAAGAGCCTGGAAATCTAAAGTCAAAAATCCGGTATCACAGGCAGATTTATCTTCCCCTC